TTTGAAGAGACTCCTCCGGGCCTTGGGCCTCTTGTCTTAAATATATTGAAATCGAAAGAATGGCTCATCTTTGCTAGCTGAGATTAAGATCAATTAAGAACTATTTATAGGGCTAGTGAAGGTACTACCAGAGTATTCTTTTGACTTTGTACAATGTAAACTATGCTTTGTGAAGCACTTATAAGTATTAAGCTGGTAATGTGAAGATAATCACAAGCATTAACTTTTTACTCTCCGCCAGCATTCACACACTTATGGACCAAATTTGATTGGATGAGTGAGTATGTGGGTTGTGTAACTTTCTCATACTATCATTTGCTCTACGAAAAGTTTTGTATGCTTTTAAATGGCTCAATAAATGGCAGATTTTACAGAATAATTAGGTTCATTTTTTACAAGTGAAGTGCACGGTTTTGAACTCATGTGTGAATTGATCGCTCGAGAGATCTACAATTGAGGAGGGATCGTAACATCAAAAGAGATCACTTGAACCACATAACATGAAATGTTAATGCTTGTGATCAACTTAGCATTACCAGCTTAATACCTTTAAAAACTCATTAAGACTGTTCTACCATCTAAATCGCCAAAACCGCACCCTGCTAGCACCAGCCCCATCTAAGTTCGGAGAGGTGGAAAGGCTACTTATTGCTATAGTAATAAGCAGAATCCAAAAGAAGCAGCTAAAATAACAAGAAGCACATGCATACAGAAATACCGACACGAGAGAAAGGGAAACTAATAGTACATGAGAAAAAAATAAAATCGGCTGATTTATAAGCCACGTAAACAGTAAGCACGACTTTGGATATCTGCTTAGGCATCTGCCTAGACTGATTAACTTTGTAGTGCACCAAGAGTAAGGCGTGAGGGTAAAATTTCCAAAATGCAAGGGTGTTACGATAGCCGACAGTCTTAAGGAGTGTGCTTGTAGCTACAAAATCGAGACTGTAAAGGGTGGGAACGAACGAGGAAAAGAAGCTTCGTGCATTTCAGATTGTGTGGCAAAGCGTGTCCATTGTGATGGTTAACTAAATTTTTCAGGCGTATTCCATTGCAGCTAGTGCCAACAGGGCACATACGCTGTTTGTTAACTGACACAAGGTTGTCTTCTTCTTGAGTTGTTCATCCCGGTGCCAAAAGGCTTGTATACAAACGTATTGCAATCTAATCTAGTTCTAAGTGTTCAGCAAAAATGGCTTATTAATGAGCAAATTAAATCATAAAAATTGGACGACTCACTCCTATCATATGATTTTTGTTGTAAAGAAGCCAGTAAGACACTTCGAAATTAATAAAAAAATAGAAGCTTTCGTCCAGAAAACGTCATTTCTATATTCTGCACAGTAGCTTATGTTAGTCACTCGTAAGTACTCTCATTTACGGGATTTATGCAAATGAAATATTTTCATCCGACAGGAATATTTAGAAGACTAAGCTTTCCTTTTATACTCCAGGTACCATAATTGGCAACTATCTTTATGTACACGGCGGCCTTCCTGAGTCCAGTGAAAGGACGAAAAAGTCTTTGAATGGACTTTATCGCATTCAAATACACCCCTTTGTTGGAACGTGGACAGACCTGACAACCTGCGACTCCCCTGCACTCAGCCAACATCAGTGTATCAACTGGAAGGACCAGCTGATCGTTTTTATAGGTAAGTGCGTCATATTCACGACATTGGAGATGAGAAAAAGCAAATGTCGCAATTTTTCAAAAAGTCGTTTTAGCGCAAGTTGGCAAAGACACATCAGGGAGAAATTTTGTGGTTATATAAGCTCGTTTTGAGCTTGCCGAGCAAATTGGAAAGTGAAGAAAATGACGTATCGGAAGAAGAAGCGATCACTAGAAAAAGAGGTTTATTTTCCTGACGTTTCGGATTCCCGACGGAATCCGAAACGTCAGGAAAATAAAACTCTTGTTCCAGTGGTCGTTCCCGAGGGAATCCGAAACGTCAGGAAAATAAACCTCTTGTTCCAGTGATCTCTTCTTCTTATTCCAAACTGCTTCCCGGAACTCGGATATTCTCCTCTATTGGCAAAATGACTTATCTCGCAATTCGCATGGCCGCGTGACCGCCCGCTTGATTGGTAGCCAATTTTTGGGCTTGCATCCTACTACTCGAAGAAAGATCTAAATAGGCCATTCATAGTAGTTACAAGAATGCCGCGAGGGTTGGATGAAAAAACAAATGCTAACAGGGGTTATTTTGAAACTTCAATTGCTGGATCAACAAGGTTCGGTTTATATTCTGCTCCTGAGCGAACAATCTAGGCCAAAGTCCGGATGCCTTAATATTGGCGTTCGGAAAAGAACCTCCACTAGACGTCGCAATTCCTCTTCACGAATTAGCGTGTCGGGTTGACTATTAAAAAATCACAATTTGTTGCTGACAACTATGCAGTGATGAGTTTCCGTTTAGTTTGACACGATCCACAAGAAAACACACGTTCTTCATTTCACGAAGTATTTAGTGTTCCATAAACTTTTATTTTGTTCACGGGAATGACTCAGTTAAGTAATTAGTTTACTTATAACGTTCAGTCTACATTGCTTTTAGAGGTGGCAGCTGCTCTTCGTAGTGATAGAAAGAAAATGCTGGTAAAGGATCGTGCAATCTCATAAATTAAATGGCGCCCGTTCCGATCACCACTTTGACTTTAGTAAACATGCAGAAGATGAAATACTGCCGCAGCTTTCTAGAACGAAAACTTACAAAACAAAATAATTTATAGAAGTAACGTAGTCTGAAATTGAAATTATGCTAACGAGCTCACTGCGAACGCATCATTTTATTCAAGTTGTTAAAAGGGAATTTTGTTAAACAAAGCCAATGACTCTACACTGTGAAGGACAATGTCAGAGTTTCTGTTGCCAATCGAAACCAAAAGGCCAGCTGCGGGAGGAAGAAGAATATACAGTTTTCGGAACAAGAAGTTCATTCATTTGCGACTGCCTCTGATTAAAGGTCCGAGCGAGAAGCCAAAATACCAGCCAATTAAATTTATTTTCCAGCGAATTGGATATTCCTGCCCCATCCTGACGGAATATTTTGTTGTGAAAATGATGATGATCGAAAATGTGTAAAATGAGTGTTCACTTCAGGCGGTTGGACAGGACGAACACGCATTCCTGGCCTACACTTCTTCAGTCCCGAAAGCGGACGGTGGCTGCCACCAGCCCTGAAGGAACCCGAATTGAGAGGCTACCCCTCAGGCGCTGGTTTGTCGGCTCACACAGTGATCCCCTTCGAGTCGGAGGCCAAATCAAACTCCCTCTCCGCCCTAATCTTTGGTCGCGAGGGATCCACCCGAATCCAACGCCGTCGTGGAAACGCCTACCTTTTACAAGGTAACCCTAAAACCAGTTCTGTTTCCTCATCATAAGTAGGCCTATCTCTGATGCACTCGCGGCGAAAGCGATTTGTCTGTTATATTCTGTCCTCATTTTTGTGACACTACTGAAATTCCACGGGTAGCTCAACGGTCGGCGCTTCAAAATGAAGGGCTAGAATCGGACATGAGAAAAGACTAGTGGATTCTCCTTTAAAAATTTACCCAGAAAAAAATTATCAGGTAATTATTAAGGCTTACACACCAGTCAAAAAATAGCAATTGCTTCTATATTCTAAAAGGGAGTCGAAAAATCGGCCATAATTTTCCGAGTGTGAATATTTAAAACCTATTCCGCGGGCAATTGGGTGGAGTGGAACACCTTACACCCCAAAGATAGGGAAGCAGAATGCAAAATTAAGATTCAGAGCTTTCTAACCTTTTATTGCCTCGATCCCAAAGGATTTATGGGGAATTGACAGAATGAACAGTTTAAATACAATAGAAGCCCACAGGCGAGCTGCAGGAAGTAATTCAACAGTAGAAGGTGCGACAAGTTTGACTTTTTCGGATTCTCCCCCGAACCCATCGTCAGAGACAATCGCGGAAAAGGATGTCAGCTGCACAAAGGGCGCAGTATTTTTAGGACGCGGTTGCCAGGCAACGACACGTCCACAGTAACTAGCAGCACTCGCCCTCCTTACTGCCTTGAATCGGAAGACAGAGTTGCCGACTTCCATTATCTTA